TGAACCCAGTTATTGAATCAGTCACTCAGCAGAACCTGACTTACACACAATCTGCAGATCTTATTTGTTCCACTTTCAAAATTTTAAACACGCTCGGCGCCTAAGAAAATTTTTTTTGCTGTGTGATGTGCTCGTAATGAACGATGGCAACCAGGCAGAAGTTAAACACAATTAAGCAAAGTTGTTCACACTTGCTGCTAATGATGCAATGAAACCAACATAAGACAGCAGGGTGTACAAGCTGAATACTTGAATTCTCACTAACAATCAAGAGTGCAAGGAAGATGGTGAGAAGAATGAGATCAAGAACTGTTTATTTATCTGAAATTGGAGAACCTGTGGTAGATTAGTGTTCCTGTTTAATGACCAATGAAAGCAGGATGAAGAGTGCAGACTTTAAGCAGGTTTATTTTATGGCGCCAGTAATCAGAAGACTCAGAGCACAGAACAGGTAACTCCCAGCACGACGCTCTCGGTGTTGAAACAGTCCTTCAAAACAACAGCATGAAGTACAGAAGGATGGAGGTGTGAAGGAATCAACAGGGTCAGCATTTCATTTATTGACTGTGTCCTCCAGCACAACAGGATACGCACATGAAGTGAGTATACAGAGAACCCTTAGAGGAAGGATTAAAGATCAGATCAAAGGCTGTCTTCTGGCCTGACCCACAACAAAGACCTGATGCTGACTTGCTGCTGACTTTGATTTTGCAGAAGATACATTTAGTGTATAGTAATGTGCCTTTGCATTCTGAATAGAAAAGCGCTAAATCCCCCACACATTTACAGCAATACTACTTGCCTGTAATAATCAGATGAAAAAGCATTTGCTGCATTATAAACAAAGCTTTGCTGCAGCTACTGTATATGCCTCTGACCTTGTGTTTCCCATGTTTTAATCCAGTGTGTAATGAAAGGTCAAAAGTAGTTTTAGTTTTGGCTACGTGTACAATGTGAAAACACTGATTTTGAATACAGATATAAAAGTACTTTGAGGAGACTGTTAGATATTGCAGGTAACACATAGATTGATGACTATTTTTATAAGACACAGGAAAGCTTATTGTAATGCTGTCCTCTAGTATGCTGAAAAAATATCAATAAATCAGCTACAATTCACACATACAGTGCATACATCTGTGTAAATAATCATTCTGTACATTCGATAATTGTTAATCCTGCAACTGTTTACAACTTGCATAGTTCCCATTTCTGTATAGCTGTATATCTCAGATTTCTGTAAAGTTATTTATTTCATATTCGTTATAGTTTTTCATATTTATATCCTGTTCATAGCCTGTACATAGCTTGTATTCACTACAGCCTGTACATACTTATAGTTATAGAATATTCACAACATACTTCATACCGTGTACATTATAACATACCATAATAGACCCATTTCTGTAATATACTCACATATCTATATTATATCTATATCACTAAAGCACTTCTGGATGGATGCAAACTGCATTTCGTTGCCCTGTACCTGTGCATGTGCAATGACAATAAAGTTGAATTCTATTCTATTCTATAGTGACATTTAGAAGAAATACTTTTAGTTTGTGAACTGGAAAGATCACTTATTTCTCTTTCACAAAGCAGAATAAAAAGTTGGTAATGTTGCTTTTAGCCGTTATGCTCTTTGGATGTAAACTATGTTGTTGTCATGAAAATAAAATAATATGACACTTTTATAAGGTTTTCTAGGTACATACAGTAAATGCTACAAACGGGTCATTTTAGCACATTAGTAGGCGGTTGCTAGGCAATGTGATGACATTATAATGTGCAATAAAGGTAAGAATCTTCCGGAGCCTGAGATGTACTTGTGTGTACTACAGATCATATAGGAGGCATTTTCACACAGACAGTATGACACCTCGCAAATATTTTACTTGCCCCAAAGTTACATCTGCGCGGAAAAGAAGACGAGATGGTGGATGTGAGAAGAATGAGCACGTTGTTAGTTTCTCGTCTTTTCTTGGGATTTAAAAGTCTGACCTTGTCTGTTCCATACACATAATAATTAAGTCACATTCATTAACATAGCAGCGCTAATCCACACAGGATTTATTTACTAATGCAATGACACAGTCCAACGCGGGCCATTTGCTGACAGTTTCTATGGCATCCCACAATGCACACCGTCCTTACAGTAAAGCTGGTTTACTGCACCAACTTGTAGGGTCCTCAGTCTGTGGCAGCTTGATGGATTCACTGGCCAAATAGCCAATTAGGCACTTTGTAGCCTGACACTCTCACAACAGGACATTTAATAATATAGGACACAAACGTGTGTGTGTGTATGTGCGCCCATATGAAGACAACCCAAGGCCTTCCAGGTGATTCTGATTAATGGGCCTGTATAAGGCAACTACACTCCAATCTCCTCTTCTCCTTTTTCCCCATTTCTTTCTTTCCTTGTCTTCCTTTCAGTTTCTCCCTGTAGCTGATATCATTCCCCTCTTGTATACCCTCTCTTTCTCTCTCCATTCACAATCCTATACTCTTTTACTCTCACTCAAAACATAATGGAGTGTCAAGCAGACAAATGTCCAAACTACTTTTATCCATTTTCTGACTTCTGGACCCTTGGGATACAAAGATAATACACTAATTGCCAAGGTCCAGAGAGCAATAGACTAACTACATGGTTGCATGAGCAAGAGTCTGTGTAATATCACTTTAGCACAAAACCACCGTTAGGGCAGCACCAGCACAATGAGTACCTCTCACTCCCACTTGCCTTTTCCCTCCATATTCCATAATAAAAAAGGTCACAGCATTATAATCAGCATTTTCTCCACAGTGGGATCTTAAACTTTACCTTTTGTTTTAATTGATGTGTGTGTGTGTGTACCTGTTTAAACATCTTTGTGAGGACCAAAACCTGGCATGCCACTATACTTTTGAGGACCAACAGTCTCTTGTCGGGACCAAATGCCAGTCCTCATGAATCGGAGGGCATTTTGAGGCTCAAAATGTGGTTTTAGGCTTAGGGATACAGTTAGGTTATGGTTATGGTTAAAGTAAGGGGCTAAGGAAAGCATTTTATCAATTCAATATCCTCACTAAGATGTGAAAAATGAGTGTTAGTGTGTGTGTGTGTGGTTTGGGGGGGGGGGGATTGCAACACTGGTGGATTGCAGAGTGGAGAGGAGCAGAGAAGCAGAGAGGGAGGACCTAGAGAAAGGAAGTGGGGCTCATCTGATTTTCATGAGAGAGCAACTGAATATGAGAAAATGTTAAAAAAGCACCAAGAAAAATGCAAAATAGCTCTTGTCGTTAAATAAACATTAAATAAGAAGGGTTTTGCCATTCAGTATTTTTGTGTATTCATTCAGGTTTCCTTAATAAGACGTAGAACGGCAAGACCATCATGCAGATGGTGATGGTGCAGCTTTCATTTAAAATCATTTTACGCAATACCTCCACAGAGACAAGGACAGTGTTGCTGGATTGTGTACATGAAAAATGCTGTAAATAGTTAACAAATAAGAAAACAAATACAAGAAGAAACTGCAAGGTTAATGCCAGGCTTCTGTCTCACGTCTGCACAGCTAAACGTTCGTGGTGTGAAGAAAGTCAGATTATCGGGAACAAAACACACCTTTTATCTATCATCAGAAAAGTATGTGAGGGGGTTTTAGTGAAGCGTTTGAGGTCAATGCAAATGTCAAAAAGAATTCATCTTCTTTCAGCTTGATCATAAAGTCTGACAGTGAAAGAAGGATGTTAAGCGGTAAGGTTTCTAGCACCCAAACATCACCAGTATGTGCAACTAATTGCCTGTGTTGATTAACTTACATTTAACCTCCTGAGACCCGAACTCTTCCATGGCATGCATTTTTAATTTCTCTTTGATATTTGAGCATATTGGGACCCGATGAATGTAAAAACAAAGAATTACCAGATTTTTTTTTTTTACCTAATTTTTGTTTCTAAGAAAAATGAGGGTGACATATGAGGATATTCATTTTAAATTGTGATAGAACAGTAGCAGTGTGTTGTTTTTTTACCAGGCTATTTGTATACAGTGCTTCTGCTGTAAAGACAGGTCAAAAAAAGCATAAATTGTGATTCAGTAAAAACGACCTACTTACTATGAAAAGTGTCGTGCGGAAGGTTTGCAATGCATTAAAATTTCAATCACCATACTTGAACTCGCAACATAGCAGTTCAAATTGAATTCCTCATGCTTCAGGCCTCCTGAGTGTGAAACCAAACTGATGGATAATCTTAAAAGTTGTCAGACAAAGCAAACATAAAACCTGCTAGAAGAGGAACAGCAAACAGTTAGCATTCTGTTGCCCTCTTTGGTTTTAAGCATATTTTAAGTTGGACTCTGTGTGCTCTTTGCATTCTGTTATGCATTTCAAATACTCACCATCATTGTAAATTGGCTTTCAGTAAGAAAGAAATGAAATGATATTACTGGGACTGTGTGCTTAGAAGGGCTTTTGGATGCCAATGTAACCGAAAAGCACAAAAGCGTTCCACCAACACCAAAACATCAAGTTCTTTGGATGGTGTTACTGAAGAGTATCAGTGTGAAAAAACATAGGCAGCGTGTGGACACACCATCGTAGTGTTTGAATCATACTAACAATGTGGTTTAATACAGTTAGTATATATAAAAAGCTATCGGCAGCCAGCTAAAACACATTATTCTGCCTTACCTGGCACATAGGCCATTTTATTCTATTAACATTTTTTGAGCCTGCAGGCTCAATAAATGTAGACATTCATTTCTTTACAGTCAGTTGCTATAAATAGATTTTAGCTTTTTGTTATTATTACTGTGACTAAATGACAGGTAATTAAAACAATTCTAATAGCCCTCTTTCTCAGATAACACCACATCTGTTGTTTGTGGAGCTTCATAGTGAAGGATGGAGAATTCTTTCCTGGAGCTCCTCACTTCTCCTCTGGGGGTTTTGAGACAACTCGAGTAAAACAACAAGTAAATATCCATATGACACAGAAGAGTTTCTTACTCCTTCTGGGTGTCCGTCTGAGGCTGTCACCACCAGGGTGTAATAATCCAGAGTCTCCCTGTCCAGAGGTTTGTCCAGAACCAAATAGCCTGAACTGGAGAGAGAACAAAACACACAGAGTTCTTGTTAACCCTTCAGGCAAAAGAACAGGAAAAATCAAAAGATGATGAAAGACTGTGCAAACCATGGTGAAACTGCATACTGTAGTTTAGTAAAAAAGAGTTTAAAAAAAGAGTTTAAATTCAAAAGGTCTTGATTGACTTTTTACTTTAACCCTAGTGATATATATACATGTAACTGCATTAAAGCTTTAACTCCCACAAGTGTGTTTTTTCTGTGAATATGGGTATTTAAGTAATGCAGAGTGTGCCTCCTACTCACTTAACTGGTCAAGGGTGATGACTTGACCTGTTTTGTTATCATGAATTATCACACAACTAGAAAGGTGAAAGACCAGCATCTTGAATTTTTATGTCTGAGTAAAAATGATCAGATCATCTGTTTCTGTGCAACTTGTCTGAATATTCTGATCAATCAAAACCAGGAAAATGTTTGAGTTTATCCTTGGTTTACTTTTTTTTTTAAATTTTCCAGTAACGATTTAGATAATGACTGAAGTGTTTTTAATTTGAACCTCTTAAATGTGTTAGAAACCATCTGAACTCTCGTGTGTATCAGGATGTGTGCGTGTGCTGATGCACGGGAAAATTTGTGTGTCTGTGTGTGCAGAAGAGTTGTCCTCAGAGAAAAAGATGTAGAGCTTTTTTTCTAATAAAAAGCAGTCCATGTTTAAATGTGTAGGTTCGCTCACACACAGTCTAGTTTTCTCATATGAACAACACATTTTCTTCATAAATCTCCAGTGTACATAAATTCCATAAAGAGCTCGCATACACTTCAAACCTAAAGCCTAGATATGTTTTAAAATTTATTATTATTATCAGTAGTATCAGTAATAGTATTATTAAAAGTAAAAATAGGATGGCAACCTCCTTGCAACCAACTATTTGCCAGACTTTGAGCAACCCTCGATCTCTGGTTTAATGTGATTTTCTGTGTAGACAGCAACAGATTTGCAGTTTTCACCATTTTATCACAGTGAATTACTGCACCAAAGATGCTCTGAATATTGCAACTGCCTGCAAATGCTCTCAGATCTGGTCCCTGTCTTTGAAGCAACTATTTCAAAATGCATGGTTTCCTATCACTGTTTTCCTTGTGTACCTGCATTAGTTGGTGATTGTAAATTGGCCATAGGTTTGATGTCCAGGGTATACCCTGCCTCTTGAGGTAGGGCAAAAAGGCTCCAATCCCCAGTGAAAATGGATGGACAAATCCTAAAATATACATGTAGGAGTGCCTATATCCATCCACAGCTAAAGCACAGAGTGAAAATCAGACTTGTTCTTGATGATTCAGATTTACAAATGAGGCTTTATAAATCAGACAAAATGAACGCGTATGCACATTTCTGCTATACAGAGGGGTTTTTTCTTCATCTGGCTCCTGTTTGGTTATCCTCGTAAAGTGCACTTAAGCTGCACTCCTAAAACCACACAAAAAAAATGAAAAGTAAAAAAATCACTCCCTCCCACGCCACCATAAGTTATATGTTATATTATACTTGCACAGTGGAAAAAGAACAACTGGGCGCTTCCTCCCATGGAGCCATAATAATGAAAACAGAGCTAAGACACTGAAATATCTGGCATTCATTGGAAGATTTTACCATGTCAGAAACAACCCACCAAATATCCCCAGAATGCAGAAATGAAGTCTTTGCTTAATTTTAATTTGTACTGCGAAAATCTTCTAAGCAGTCAGCTCTTTTCCTCACACTTATTTTGTGATTTTAATTCCTCATGTCTCTCTTCCTGGTGATTTCTAATACTAACATTTTGCTCTTCAATTTCCCCTCCATGCCCTCTTCTCTTATCTTCTTTTCCAACCACTCATTCTCACCCACACCCCCCAAATCTGTATAATTCTGCACCAGCTGGGGTTGTTCTTTCACAATACAACCCTCCAGAAATTTAGACAGGATCTTACCCCGAGCTTCAGAAATGCATTTTTAATGAGAAATAAATGAATAAATACAACAAAAGCCCTCAGAGTCTGCGTGCCTTTGAATGTGGTGAATGTGCGCTTGTGTGAGTGTATGTGTGTGTCTTTGCAAGAGCCGTGGTGACGTCCAAGACCTGTATGACCAATTTTTATAAGGAAGCATATTCCCTCATTACATTACTGATTACGAGCAAATTGATTCGTATACAGTTTTATGAATTTGGGTTAATCGGAATACAGACAAATTCTCAGAGATAGAGATTAGAGTTATATTTAATTAATTTTTTGTTTTAATTCAAAGTTTGCATTAATTAATGTGAAAGTTATAAGCATCAAGGAATATTCCATGAGGCACGGAGTTTAAATAATCTGTTTGTACATGCATTATGTTTTTATATTGGCTGTGTACACTGTGATCTGATGGAATTGACACACAGCCAAGGCCTTTCTGTTCTGGGAATTTAATGCCTCATTTTCACATTTAGGGCAAAGGGGCAAAAAAGAAAAATAAAATATGTCAGAGTAGTGTGAGGAGGGGAAAAGCTTCTTTTAATTTCAAAAAGTCAAGTCAGTTTATATATGTAGAGCATTTGTGGTGCAGATGTTCAGATGTTGAGTAACGTGGTTTAAAGAAACGCTTGGAGCTGAGTTAGAGTTTTGTGAGTGGATCATATTGCCAGCTGTTGATTAGCTTACAAGCATTTCACTTTTAAAAGAAGTTACAAGGGAAACAATACATTTTTACTGTGCTGTAAATCTGCACTGCTGCTGATTATCTAGACACACCTGTTCAACAAAGGCTTCTGCTTGAGTATCAAAACACCACATGGACAAGCCACAACTGCAGTGTACAGAAATAGAACAGGTAGTATGTGGTTACCTGTCCCAGAAAAACTCTTAAAATGAACAAATATACATTTTATATGAATACATTGGTAGAAATTTGGACTGCATTTGAATATTGGGGCCATGTTTCCCCTCTAACGGATATTATGATTACAGCCTTGATTCACATTTATTTTCTTTGTTTACTTAGCTTAAAGTCTTGATGTAAAGAAATAGGTCAAGAAAATCTCGATGATGTGGGTTTTGCATTTACTTCTACGTTACATTCAAAATGTCAAACAAGGTGTGTTAGAAATGTGACCACTAACCATGTTATGTTGACTAGTCAGTAATACTGGTTGTGTGACATTCATAAGATCAAGTGACCCAATCACAGAGGCCGAGAGGCTGGTCTGTGACCATCTGGCAACCACTTTTCACTAGGGAAAATGTGCATTTTCCAACCAGTTAGAAACATTTTCTTGAGATTGAAATGTTACACTTTTTCAAGTTGTACTGCTATTGGTCTCTGAGTTAGTGTTTGTAAAAAAAACAAGAATAACTATATGTAATGTACTAGCAACCAAATCCATTGCGAGAACAACTGCTAAAGGTTAAGGGAACAGACGTTTGACCCTAGGAACCAGTTCTTGTATCAAATCTAGTCAAACAGTGACCATGTGCACGACATCTCCTGAGAAACCTCAATAGTGTGTCTATCGATACAGCTATCACGCACCTACATGCAATACTGACAGCACACTTTGTCACATACTATGACATTTTTGAACATTTATTTTATAATATGCATTCAAATGTTGTCAAAATTAACTTCAGCACAAGCTAGAACTTTTATTTCTACATAGAGAGTAAAGACCTGAACCCATGCTGAACTGGAATTGTGGGCCTACTTACTTTTGTTGTAGTGCAAAATGTTCCTGGATGTCTCCGCTTTGGATTTTGTAGGTTATGGGGTCCCTCTCCCGATCCACTGCCTTAAAAGTAAACAGAGACAGGCACCAACATAAACATATATGCTTTCTCATTTTAGGTATGTAATATACATCAGTCAGTTCTAGTACCTTGGAAAGCACTAATGCACCATGGCATCTGAATGTAAATTAAACACTATCCTAAAAGCCCAATAAGTACTGTGACTGTGTAATAATTGGTATGACAGCATGTACCTGCAGATTAAGAAGTGTAGCCCCAGTCCTCATAGCTTCACTGATCTCCAAGTTGTATTGTTGCCGCGGAAAACGAGGAGGGCTCTGGTTGTTTGGTGGCAAAACTTCAATGTAGACCGTAGTAATGGATGACCTAAAGGGAGAAAGAGAAAAAGAGAGGGTGAAAAGGCGAAGAAAAGAAAGGGTTTAGGCGACTAAGACAGACAGCGAGTGTGAAGAGAAGCATCCTATAACGGGAAAAGAAATAGCAGAGGAATGTTAGGAGGGAAAGCTAGAGGATACTAAGGGGAAAGCAGTGTCAGGGAAGGTGAATGGCCCATTATTTAAGTTAAGAGTGGCTGGCCAGTGTTTGTTTCTTTGCACTTCATGCCGAGTTTGATCAATAAGAGCATGAAGTCAACAGTGTAAGTGACAAAGAAACTGGATAGTACTTTATTACAAGGTCTCTAATGCAGTGTTTGAGGTTTCTATTGCGACTTGTTCAAACCTGAGTGAATGTTTCAATGAGTCATTTATAAAGAACATGGGTGATGTTACATTAGGAGAAAAGACTTCTTTATTTATAATAAAAGTATTTCTACACTACACACACACACACACACACACACACACACACACACACACACACACACACAGGGTTACACAGTGTTCACTGTAAAGGCTGTATTGTACAATTCTTTATTTTCCCCTTTATTATCAAGTATTATAAAGTATAATATGCTGTGCAGAAGTTTGTCCTTCAGGTATTTTAACCTCTCCTTTAGCTTTAGTTTGCAAGGCTTTCAATGCATATAAACTACTAGCAAATTTACAAAGGCCAAAAAGTGAGAATTTTTATCCAACAGTTGCAGAATCCATGACTTGTAGGCTTTTGCTCTGGTACTTATTTGTCTCAGTATGTAATACAATAGCATATTGCCTAATTGCTAGTTTGGCACACCTTCAAACAAATGAGTAGCTGCTTCAGTTAAATCCAAATATAGCCAGCTGCCTAACATGCTGCTGTTTTTTCCTAACTAGTGCTGCTATAGCTAAAGCTAATTCTGAAATGTGCTATGAGAAAAGTACACCAGGTGTTCTTCAACAGAGACCAAGTAGCAACGTCCCCCGAGCAACAGATGGATTCATGTATAATTGGTGCTAGCATAAGTTTAGTGTGGCTAACATTGGCATTTGTTTATTTCTTTCTCCCTGTAGCATGATGTTGTAAAAGAAGCAGCCTATTAGGCCTAATGTAAATCCGCTATTACATGTATGTTGGCTATAGCTACATGAAAAATTGTATTTCTGGCAGTGCTGATAGACACAACTTCCAGGGTAGAATGCAGAAATGCCTAAAAACCAGCTTTCCACCTAAAGGCTACCAAATGGTGATGGCTATGGTTGTCCTGCAGAAGTCTATCTTCCTGTCTTGACCTCGTTAAACATTTTCCAGTTGAATTTATGGGCTCAGTTATTCATTTTTGTTCATACTGAATAAAAAGATTTACTCTGTTTTGTAAATCTTCACAAAAATCTGTCACAAAATCACAAGTCATTAGTTAATGAGACTCATTCTTCTTGGTCACATCTGTTTCTTTGGCAACTTAGAAGGCAACGGCTGAAATGCTAAACTGGAGGTGTTTTAAAATGAGACTTCAGAAACTAATAGGTGATGTCACAGTAGCTAAAACCACCTATTGACCAGCTGTTTTCTAGCATGCTTGGTTCTGATTGGTGACCAGCTTGTCCACTTCACAGTCTGTTTCATGCATGCAAAACATGCAAACAGCAACATAGGCAAAGACACAGACTTTATCTATGAAGACACAGAATTCACCAAAGTAAACCATGTCTGTAAAAGCACTTAAATTTAGCTAAACATGGGTATTTTAATGAAGCTACCAAAGGGAAAGTGGAAAAAATTGGAATTGAAAACCAGGCACGAAAATTGGAGTCTTTGCATCCCTAATGTAAACCAATTCAATTAAACCTAACTAAACTTCAACTAACCCTGCATTAAAAGACATAAAACTATAATATAAGAATCTATATCATTCTACATACCAAAAAAAGCAGATGGAAATGAATTCAATTAAGCCACACATTCAGTAAACAGTATTAAATAAACTAAATGTGGAAATGTGATTGAAATGGATGATGAAATTATAATGCCTGAATAATGTTTTTAAAAGCAAAAATAGAAAAATTTCCCAGAAACAAGTCTAAGAAATGAAAAATGGTGATAAAATGTAGATTTAAGGTCTGACAGCTTTATTTTGTAAAATGTAGTCACACTTTTTTTTTTTTTTTGCTTAATCAGCATAACACTTATTCCAAATCAACACTGTCACTGTAATGACCTAAAATTGACTGCTTATTTATGGCATTATAAACAGCCTGTTGTATTTTTTTGGTATTTCAGTACTCACTGGGATGTGCTACACGATTATAGATAATTTAGTTGATTTTGCAGTGATTCTTAACATATTCAGATCCACAAGAGCTTAGGGAGACTATAGTAATGACTGCAGTGCAGGGACAAAATTCCTTTCTTCTTATATATTACCCATCACCCATAGAATAGCAATGTGAGATGTACTTTTCTGTTTTATTTGTATCGTTTTTTCATGGTTTCATTAGAAATTAGTTTACTGTATGTCCAGATTTGCTGAAGACGAATGTAAAGTAGTAGGTTGTTTAAACACTTGCATGAAGCACGATAATGTTTAAACAAGGTGTTATAAGTTTTAGTACATCGACAGCCATCTAATGCAAATAGTCAAAGCATCTTATTGCAAACACAGGTCCCAAAACTCATTATATAAAATCACCACGACTATTTGAAGTCCATTTAAGAATGGATAGTTTTCATCTGCACTGCGTGATCTAGCACTGACCAAGCCATCAGTGGGTCAGTAAGCTTTGCGCATTTTATTTTATTAGAATTAATTTCTTATTAGTGTTGTGGCCCACAGCGGCAGACGGAAGATTGTTTGGATTAAATTGCAAAAACAAGTGCCACCACTCTCATAAATTACAGTCTTAATTACTAACCCTACATTAACAGGTTTGAAAAGCTTTATTACACCCACTTCCTGCTTTTAACATCAAGCTCGACCAATCATGAATTTAAAAGAAAAAGAAACTGCAGGGATTTAGCTTGTGTTTCTACTTGGTGAGAGTGCTGAGTTTCAGCAAGGGGAGAAGCGAGAGATTAACTCCACTCAAACTGGATCATCGATTGAAAACGCCAAAGAAACCCGGGTCTAAACAATAGCCCACAAAATCTGTTTACACTCACAACTATAAATAAATAAAGAACTACATGAAGGCTGGAAAATGTAAGCCACCAGAGAGACTGAGAGCCAGCATTTTATTAGCACAATTCAGGCATTATTGATGAAAACCGATTGACTGCAGATGATTCAGACATAGATTATGCTGTAACTGAGACTTATTTCGCCTTCAAGTTTGACATCCTAGAATTCGGTCACAGAAATGGTTGTATATGAATGCTTCTCCTTGCAGGCACACAAACACAAAACCACAATCTGTTCTTTTAATCACCTACCTTATGTTCTTTGACACAAATTAAAAGAGAAGGCAGATGCTTAATCTCGAGAACAATGGTCGGCACACAAATTTATAAGCGACTGACCTCGCTTCAGCTTCGAGTCACCATTCAGATCAATGGGAAACACAAATAACCTGTTTAGACTTTTAAAGTTTGGTTGTCCAACAAATCATTATTCAATTAAGTGTCAAATTATATATTTAATGTTTTTGGCATTAAATGGCAGTTCTAAGCAAAAACAGGGACTCCTGTTTAACATTTAGGCTACCCTCAACACATTTGTTCACAAGTATGATCAAATTAGCATCAGGTTCCTGTAGACAATGTAGAATGGACTGACTACTTGTTATTTTCAATGCAAGCCAGCAATACAAACCACAAACCTCTCCCTAACCCTTTCCACTGCTCAATGAGAATGTGTGGCACATGAAATGTAATTAAGACTCAAAGTTTTCCAAAGCTTCAATACCCAATGCATTCATGTTTGCACCTATACAGTACCATGATGATGAATTTCAGATCATCAAACTAATTTCAATATTAGAAAAAGACAACCCGAGTAAATACAAAATGTCGTTTTTAAATCATTTTATTTATAAATAGTGACAAATTATGGAAACCTACCTGACCCTTTGTAAAAAAGTAACCCCAAGCTGATAAACAGCTGATAAACAAAGTCATTGACATCTATCATTCTAGAAGGGGATAACCCAAAGGCGTGCCATTATCTACAAATGGAGAAAACTTGGAACAGTGACGAACCTACCTTAAAAATTCCCTCAAATCACATCAACAACACACTCAGGAGGTCACAAAAGACCCCAGAATGATATCTACAGAACAAACAGGCTGCTTTGCAGATTCAGGAAGATTCCTGGATAACTTGTTGTAATTGATGGAATTGTGAATTCTGCTCTCAAAAATTGAAAGTTTTTGGAGTGCCCTAGTCAATGCCCAGACTTAAATCAGATTGAGATGCTGAACTTAAATAGGTCTTTCATGAAAATCATCCAATGTGGTTGAATTAAAATAATTCGGCAAAGAAGACTGGGCTACAATTCCTGTGATCCAGTGATGTGAGAGACTCATTAGCAGTTATTGCATATGGCTTGATTGTAGTTCCAGTTATTAGGTTAGGCAGGTTTGGATAATCTTTTTTTTTAATTAATGAAGTGCATTTCATATTTTCTCTGGTTATCTTTGTCTAACATGAAAATTGTTTGATGATCTGAAACTGACGATCTTCTTGGTGTATGTCCTAGTATAGTATTAATCTTGACTTAAACAGGTAACCTCCAGGGCTGGAAAACCTTGAAGCAGAAGTGTCAAAAACTCTTGTTTCTTAAAGCTGTCTTCAAACGTCTCCATAGAAAAGTTAAGAGCATTAAAAAACATTGCAGCCTGGTAGATATAGTCTTGACCTCCCTTTTCATGCTAACTGCATGGGGCTGAATTTTTAAATGCTTACCTGACTGAATTGCTAAAAGCCAAGGATAATCTTTGACTAAAAGGCAATTAATACTGGTGGTTATAGCTGTTGGCTTTTTTCACCTCAGCTAATTAAAATTACTGAACTGGACCTTTTGATTGTGTATATGGCGTTGGTGCCTTTTGATGCGAATTAATTTATCAGCTAAATGTAAAACAACCGCATACACATCACATTCAAAGGTCTCTGCTCCAGTTTCAGTGAGTGAATTTTTAGTATTTTTTTTTTCATCTTACTTAGCACTAATTAGCAAATATTGATGTCTGGGTGATGCACATATACAGTCAATGCACCTTGTTAACTAAGCTTGCTAGCTGTAGTTGATAAGTCACATCACTTGTGCTCCCTTTCATAATTCACTGCATGACACGTAAGGTACAGTAAAAATGATCTCTTTTTTGCAAATTCACTTTTTATCTAACATCTTCATCTGTGTTATCTTCTCTCTCTCTTGTGGTGATTTATTTCATTATTAAAAGTTCCAGACGCCTAACGCTATACTTTAAAAAATGCTCTCTTTTGTTTTTGTTAGCTGCCATCATAATGAGGACACAGCTCATTCTGAGTCCAGATTTATAGTTTTAACAAATCTGTAGCACAGAGAGATATTGATTTGTCAGGTTACATTTTCAGCTGAGATAAACGGGGGTCTGGGGAAATTTGGGGACAATCTCCATGCCAATCACTGGAACCACCTCAATCTGCAGAAGTTCACATTCTATATTGATTTGGCAGCTTCATGGCTAGAAGGATAAAAAATGATTCTAGTTTTGGAATGACTGAGAAATATTGCTCCAGAAAAGCAATGTGGCATGCAAGCCATACATTATTCTTGCTCTACACATTAGATACTATCAGTCTTGCTGAATTAATGTATTAGAGTTGGTAGGTTGATTCAGAGTAAATGTGAGGGCAGTAAGCAGGTCAGAAAATGCAAAAAACTTTAATGCTTTATAAAGTACCTGAACTTTGGAAGCTTGAGATGAAAGGCATTGCGCGTTTTATTTTTTTACATTATTTACATTTACATTAGCTTCCCAAAATGCAATCAGAAATGTAACTACTGTTTGACGTTAATAGTAAAACACAAAGCACAAGGGCACAACAGTGTCTGATATCCAGAGGTAACCCATATGGTCTGGATATTTCTGATGTTTCTGTCTGGTAAATTTAACATTGTGAATAAGTGTTATGGCAGTAACCTCTATGATTTATTGTCTAAGTAAAAATTAAGTTACTTCATCCAATCAGCGCAATTTCTCCAATGCATAGCAACCAAAATCACAAAACGGCCAACTGCAATTAAGGAAATGTATTCTTAAATAATTTCTTTACGCTGAAACCAAGCAAAGGTTGCGTTACAATTATGTAACATGTCTGTGACAGGTCAGGCTAATAAGACGCGAGCTAAAGTTAATTTCTTGCTTCCAACTGTTTTGGAAGTCTTTCTTCAGAGTTTATTAGATACTGTACCTTCAGTATGAGACAAAATGAGAGAACTGTGTGTATTTAAACATGTGGCACAATACATTTTTTGCCATTTATATGAAATTTATCAATTGATCTGTCTGAGATGCAGGTTTCCCATAGTCACAGTTGAAATCTTCAGTTAAAAATTCGCAAGCTACAGTTTAATATTTGCATTTGAGTGTTCATTTCCCAAACTACATGTACAATATTACCTCTAATCACAATGTCAACTATCAAAATACATTATTTATTTATTAATGAAGCTCTTACCTTATACATCATAAGTGAGCTGAGCTGCACTGTATTCTCAAATCTTGCACAAGCACCAGCACATACGTTTGCATACATAATAGTGCATGAGCACAGTGCGTTATTCTGTCAGAGCTGTGGGAATATCTGAATGAAATTTAGGCGCAGATACTTTATTTGGAGTGACACTACACTACTGATGCTGCACACTGCTGATACACAGACCTTACCATATGCAAAAACGTTCATTTTACACCTTCCAGCATTTTAACTACGTCTCAGGGGAGCTGATTGAATACAGGTGCATTTTTGTCAGGTTTCTAAAGAGAGCAGAAGTCTCCACCTGTGCCCACTGACAGTTCAAATTAAATGTCCAAGTATTCAATCACATCCTCAAATGAATTTTATAATCAGAAATTCAGATATATCTCACACTGACCTGCTCATCTTACATCAATTTAAAAAGACTGACTTCCTGTTATAGCAGCCTGCCTAACAAGTGATAATCACCTGGGTATTGCCCTGTTCTTTTTCCTCAAGCGGTGTGTAAAGGAAAAAAAAAAAGAGTCTTGATTAAATGTTTCCCCATGTTTGCACCCAAGTGTTGCTTTTGTTCTGTGCTTCTCATTTGTAAAGCAGGGACTCTGCTTGTTTGTCCTTTCTACAAGGACGCACAGTGTTAATTTGTCCTTTTGCTGCGCTATTCCCAAGTGCAGAATACAAAGAACAACACCCATCGAGTATCAGAAAGCTGTGTGGTGATGTAGATCAGCGAGTATGACTTTTGTTTTCATTGATGCCAATTACTCTGATGCTTTTGTGCAGTCTTCTTTATGGTGTTCCTCTATCTGATGATATACAACAAGACAAGAAAACAAACAAAAAAACAAAACTAAGTGGAACACAAAAAGAAGGATGACGTACATCAAAAAGTCTAAGCGTAACTGTTATACACAAAAGCTCATGGCTTGCTCCCAGTGAGTCTCTTTTGTTTCTTGCGTCAAGTTACAGCATGGAGCGGCACAAAACACTCAAAAAAATCAAACTCTCCGAGAGTGCAGCTGCTACATCAATGTGTGTTCCAGTGGGTGAGTGGTTCAATGGTTGGATTTGCTTCTGTTCTCAAATATTGTACAGTAACTGCTTGAAACTAAAATTTCACATCTCTGCCAGACTATAGCTACGCAAATCAATACTTACAAAGAGTTTAAAATGTATTAGGAGCAGCTGCCTTTTCCATTTAATAAAGCTGGTTGGAGAACGGCAGGGAATTGTGATTTGCTTAAAGTTATGGTCCTTACTGATTCAATTAATGATGTAGAGATGCAGAGCAGGAAACAGGATAGAAGAAAATATTTAAAAAGCTGTGTTCCCAAGTCTGTCCGTACCCCTCGAAGGCAACAGACCATAGTGCACTACATTTGCTTTCTACCTCTCTCTGTGGTATTTCAGATGCCACGTATGTCAGTATTTGTTAAAATCGTTCCTTTTTGGAGTCAGAGACAGTATAATTTTCTCTCTGCTCTCAAGAAGAGGGTGTCTTGAGGCACCCTTTCATTCTGCATTGTTTCTTCCCCCCCTCACACTCACACTATCCATTTTCTTGTTTCAGACTCCTTTTCAGCTCTATTCCGATTTAAAACTATAATTTAAGATATATATATTTCTAAGAATGAAAAAAACTTGTCTGAAAATGGCGAACAGAAAGAGTGACAGGAGAGGGGTAACAAAGTGGGAAGCGACAGACAGAGATGTGCCGTGTCTGACGATGAGTGTGGACGCTCCGGAAATCTGATGACCTTTCGAGTTTCATCACCAGACAGAAAGAAAATACCCGGCGAATCACAAAGTGAGAAACCCCTACCTTCGGTGGGGTTCAGGCCCGTTGTCCATGGCTTCTACGGTCAACGCATAGCTCTGCCCAACACTTAGCTGCACGCCTGGTGCCACAGTGATGATCCCACTGCTGTGGAAATAGTTACATTTATCTGATTATAAATACTTATCACACTTTCATAGTGGATTTTCTAACTTTACCTGAGCTATTTAAGAAAATCACCAACATAACTTCCATTATGCTATTATTTCTAACATGCATAGTTTGCAAAAGCCTGACAATTTAACTACTACCTTTATTTGTATTCTCGATCCAATGTCTAAACCACTTATACCAAGCAACATCTTAAGCAGGAGTTCTATCCACTGCAATGCTGTGTTGGTTTGCTGGCAACCTTAAGGCCACAATAAATCCCAAGTGACTCATTGTCATTGTTAGGCCTATACATATTTTTTTATTTCCGCATAGATTGGTGCGGGCGAGCGGTTTCACCTTTTTAGAGCCTTTATGTTTAGCTGAGCGATTAATGGTTACTGCTAGAGATTTCAGTCTTCAAAATTGTAACAAAATAGCAAAGAAGCATATTCCCTCAATGCTAAAAAGTAAATAAAACAAAAAACAATGCCACTCATCAATTTACCTGTTGCCTATGACAAAGTGTCCTTGGTGACCAGCCAAAATCCGATACGTGATGAGACCGTTTTGACCTGCATCGGAGTCAAATGCTGACAGCTAGGAAAAGACGCACACACACACACACACACACACACACACACACACACACACACACAAATGTGATTCATGTCCAAACACTCACAACATGCTCCAAGAAAAGCTTTAACGAATCATGCTGCTAAAGACTAGATGTGTTATTAACCTGTATGTGTTCGACAGTGTGTACCTGTAACACGGCTTCTCCAGGCATCATGTCGATAAACAGGTTCACATTATAGGAAACGTTAGGAAAGGTTGGGGTGTTGTCATTAGCATCCAACACTGTTATGGCCACGGTAACTGCAGTGCTCTCCTGGACACCGTCTGATGCTACAAGCTGAGACAAAGGCAGAAAAAGAAACAGTTAACAAAGCAAAGAGCCAAAGTGTTCCTTCTTTTAAAAAAAACACAGTCTTGATTTTGAGAGGCCTGCTGATGAGAAGGCGGGTGGACTATGCACTGAATCTGTGCTTGACATCTTGATTTTCCTTAACTTTGTATTTCTCTTAAAAAAAATTAAGGTGTAGGATTCTTTTGATAAGAAGAATAATAATAACGTTATTTTTAAATGACGTTACTTCATTAGTTTTATCTTGAAATACTGAGTTGGACCCCCTTTTTTGTCTTAAGTACAATTCATTGCACAGAATCACCAAGGTGTTGGAAATATTAAGCATAGACTTTGGTCATTGAGGTGATAGCATCACACGGTTGCTCCAGATCTTTGGGTTCCACCACAACCCAAAGGTGCTCTATTGCATTGAAAACGGGTGACTGTGGAGGGCACAGTGAACTCATTATCATGTTCAAGAAACCAGTTTGAAATCATCTGAGCTTTGTGACACAGAATATACGTTAAAAAATCGGTACACCGTGGTCATAGAGGGATGGACGTGATCAGCAACGAAACTCAGGTGTTTAAACTACGCTCAGTTGGTGCTATTGGGTCCAAAATTCTGCTGGGGAAAAAATATATATCTCCCACACTACTACACCACCCCCACCAGCGTGAACCGTTGATACAAGGCAGGATGGATCCATGCTGTTTATGCCATATACCCTCAGCCAAGTTGGATGAGTTGTAGCCTCAGTTTCCCTAAGTGTCCCTAACTGAAAGGAGTGACACCTGGAGTGGTCTTCTTCTGCTGTAGACACTGTGCTTCAAAATGTAACATTTAACAGAAGTTTGCAAAATACTCAATTTTCATTTCTATTCTATTCCATTCGGATGCTGTCTGATTAGAAATATGCATTAACAAGCAAAGAGATGTACCCAATAAAGAGAGTGTAGTTACAAGATGCTTCACAGTATTTACCAAAAGAAGGGACATTAAAGAATTACAAAATCTGTATACAGAAAGGAAAAAGAAGACAATAATGGAAACTGTGGAAACTCTTTAATCAGTGCTGGCTGTCTCTAATTTAACCTACACGCAAGAGTACTCCCGGTAACTATCGCCATTTATAATGCATACATTTATTTAAAAATGCATATAAATAAGAAATAGCATTAACAGTGAGAGTTATGCTTAGTCAACCTCGTATAAAGAAGACTGAAAGGATACTGTACAATAAAGGTGAAGCTGGCTGGCTTTTGCTTACTATCAAGTGAGCAGTAATGTTTTTCTGAAAGCAAACTGCTGAGCTCCTCTAAGTAGAGCCTGTTCTTTATTATTGTGTTTTGCACCCTGCCACTTTAAAACATCAGTTTTTGTGGCTTCATAGGTATAAACACGAAAAAAGCTCAACTCGACATGAGAGAAATGTCGAAAACTGATTGTCGTTCAAGTCTTAGGAGCTCGATTAACTTAGATAAAATTAATCACGTTAAGTATGTTGTTTGTTTTTAAATCAACTTTAATGTCACAAGCATGTTTTTAGTCTCCCCTGTCCTTTAGTTCATGCTCTGAGATGTTCAAAACATTCAAAAGTCAATTACAGCGCTTCACATCCATGACAAATTTTGTTTATGACCGTGCCTGGTTTCATCTTTTTTTCCCCAATGTCCCTCCACTCGCCCATAAATGAGTCAGTAGCAGAAAAATTCAAGCGAAAATGTGCATTTCAGCCATGTTTTAGAAATCATTCAAAGCGAATATCGGCAGGAAAGAAGTTTCTTCACTGATACCAATCTTCTCCACAAGCTCATCTGCCAAGAAGCTGATTCACTCCTTCAAATGAAAATCACCCACCATTTCTCATATCGCTCTCTGCCTTGAGTTTAATTTCTCCTCCAAGGCTTTCATGATGATTACTGTACACCTCTGCCTTTAAATCAATACACCAGGCCTTCTGCTTTTTCCATCTTTAACTCCCAAATTGCTGAATACACACTCAAGGACACATAGAGCCACATACAGTCCCACACGTGCACACACACACACACACAAACACGCAGTGCCAGAGTTACCAGCCTGAGCTTGTCAGATAACAGCTGCTGTGTGAAGTAACAATGCAGTACATCATATACTGAGATACATTTTGATACTCTGCTTGACATTGGGCAGCTTACATGCGCCCTACCAATGAAGACGCTGCTGGATTAGATTCCACTGATAAATTTAAAAAAAAAAAACAGGGAGGGGAAAATGAAGAAAATGCACCAGGTAGACAGAAAAAATAGGGAAAGATGTGGACACAGAAGGACTGTAATCACTGTAATTAGTCTTGTTTGCTACATTCATTTCTACAGTAAGCAACAAAGGCATTAATTACTAGTGACAGTATAATAATTAATACTGTCATTTAAAACTCATTTTTTAGAAGCACTGTTAGGACAGAAAATCAAATCAACTTTTAAAAACATATGAAGGTTGAAAAAATTCCTTCCATGTTTGCCCTTTTCCTTCGCCTTCTCATGATTTTCTTACTTCAGGCCTCTCTATACGCCTCCCTCCACAGTCGGTCTGTTGTTTGTGTTCTCTGTAACCCTCTGCCCTCTTCTTTCTAATCTGCTTTTTTTGTGTGTGTGCTTCACCTGTACTCACATCCTCTGCATTTTCTCCACTCCTCACTTTATCTCGCTTCTCTCGCCTTACTGCTAAAATGGCTTAAAGTCAGGCTCAAGCATAGGTTAAGAAACCCAAGCATATTTTTATTTTTCTGCGTATTCCTCTGGTGTCATTTTATTTCCATTTTTCACTTCTTTTCATGAGATTTTTTTATTTGTTTTTCCCAGGATCCCTGCTTTTATCTGACTTTGAAGGGGAGTTATTCAAATGCATTCAGACACTTATCTATCGCTTTTCCCCTCACATGCAAACACTTTGTGTAGTGCACACAGACATCAAGCCCATAGAGTACCGTGAATGTGTAGGAGTCTTGTGTCTCTCTGTCGACAGGCTGCACCAGAGTGAGGTATCTTTTGATTCCAGTAGCAGATACAGAGAAAACATGAGAATAGCTGTCCAGTGAGAATTGAAGCTGCGGATCCCGTGTCTGTTGAAGAGAGACATAACAACATTACAACATTTAACTTTTTGTTTTTACCCTTAAATCCTCTGCTGGGGGATCGCTTGCACTCAGATACCGTTCCCTCATGTCTCACTATCATCTAGATTAATTACTATACATGCAAACCTGTAGTGAAGTGGCTACACTGGATTGGTTAAAAAAAAATACACAGAGTTTCTGGCCAAGATGATAATTGATGGGCAAAAGTAGGCAAGAGCCAGCTTTCAAACTGTGTTTATCTGAAATAATTATATTTAAACATTACAAAGCTGAATATATCAGTGGCAAAACACAGTGAATCCACACGCTTCATAAGCAAAACAGCTGTGAACAAAGAAGTGCTTGGACAAGAGATGGTTAAGAATATGAATGAAAAACATCCCTTGTGTTTTCTTGACATAACAATTTCTAAGAAGAGGGCTCAATCGGTGTGTGTCTGGGTGCTATACTCAGTGATGGAGAGGCAATCCTCATCCAAGCCCTCCTCTGACATTACCTACACAGTCATCTCTTCTGTGTGTGTGTGTCTGTATGTGTGTGTATGTGTGCATGAGGGAGAGAGAGAGAGGGGAGCTCTCATTCCAGATAAGGCTGGCTCAGCAGGGTGGGAGGGTGGGGTGGGGGAGCTGATAATGCTGTCGATGTAGCCGGTGTGGATATTGAGTCATAAATAAGCATGCACGTACACACAGTAGCACAGTTACAGGCGCACACAGATACTTGCATTTGTATGCGCACACACAAATAAAAGTGATGGATGTCACATAAAAGCAATTAGGACTAATCATCATTGTTGGTGCTTAATGCTGGAGGAAAGGCCAGGGTTAGCAATATTAAAAATAACTCAATGTATATCACTTGACACACACATACACAGTCCCGGGAACACACACAAATGCACACATTATCCTCTCTAAGCCCATTCCAAGCTGTTGGGGTCTTTTAGAAAGCAGCGAACCAAAGCTTGTTTTTGTCAAAATGCCTATGCTACATCTTAAACAAACTAAGCTCCTGGGAATGCATCGGCGATAACAATGTTGCAGCACTGTAAATATCTTACATTACCGAGAGGCAATTTAAGAGGGAAATGGTTTTACTATCCAGATTCAGAGGAAAATTAGATAGGGCACTTCACACACTGCAAGCAAGGCACAAAGTCGAGATTCGGCAGAGCTTGAAAGAGGGCGGCGAAAATGGACACTTGAATAGACCAATCCCTCATTTCTGTATGGTATGATTAAATACTGTCACCATGCTTCTAGCTTTGTTTACATGATGGTTTAATTTTGTTTCTAGGCAAGAGCTGGTTTATTTACATGAGAGCAGGATTTTATATCAGTAAGGTAAAGAGATACAAAGTGCTTCTAACAGCTGACCAGAAGATAGACCCATGCCCTGATTGTTTAGTCATAGCTTTGGTAGACCTGTCAAGATCTAGATTTTGCGATATGTTCTACATAGCCCCGCCAGCAGCAAGGCATCTGAAGGTAATATACACTCACCAACACTTTATTAGTACAACTTGCTAGTACAGTGCCAAAATCTATTTTTCCTTTTAGGACTTCCTTACTACTTTGCGCTGGAAACATTTCTTTGAGAGTTCAGTGCATATTGACATGTTAGAATCATTCACATTCTCTCGTGCTCTACTGGGTTGAGATCCGACGACTGTAAAGGCCATTTGAATACGGCGAGCTCATTGCCATATTCAAAAAACCATTCACCAAGTTGAGCTGTTTGATATGACGAGTTAAACTGTTGGAAGCAGCCATCACAAGATTGGTCACTGGGTCATGAAGGGCTAGACATGGTCTGTAACAATCCTCAGGTAGGCTGTGGCATTTAAATGATGCACAGTGGGATGTGCCATGAAAATATACCACCACATCATTATATACCCCCATATCTTTCTTGAACTGCTGATCTAAGGCAGGATGGATACATGCTACAATGTTGCTTAATCAAAATTCTAATCCTACAATCTCAACATTGCAGCATACCTGGCAATGTTTTTCCAATCTTCCATTTTCCAATTTTGGTGATTAGAATTCACCCATATGAATTATACCCTTAGTTTCCTGTTCTTAGCAGACAGAAGTGGTCCTCTGCTTCAAGTTCAAGAGATGCTCTTCTGCAGACCTTGGTTGTAAAGAGTGGTTACCTGATTTTTTGTTGCTTTTCTATCAACTTAAAGCAGTCCGGCCATTCCCCTCTAATCTCTGGCATCAACAAAGTCTACTTGCTCAGAGAACTGCTGCTCACTGGATTTTTTCCTGTTTTTTGGAACATTCTCTGTAAACTCTAGAGATAGTAGCGTGGGGAATTGTCAGTTAACAGGTTCTAAAATACACAGATCAGCCTGTTTGGTACCAACAACCATCCCATATTCAAAGACCCTTAAATCACCTTTCCTTTTGTCTGAAAAAAGATGTATTAGTCGTAAGTAGACTTGTAGTCAAGACCGCCTAATCCGAGACCAAGACAAGACCAAGACCAGAGGGCATCGAGACCAAGACAAGACCAAGACCAAGACCAGAGGGTATCGAGACCAAGACAAGACCAAGACCAAGTCGAGACGAGACCAAGACCGAGACCAAGTTGAGGCGAGACCAAGACCGAGACCAAGACCGGGACAAAAAAGACTAACTTTTGTGTGCTTTTGAGGGCTGACATGATGGTACTGACTGGCCCCAAAGTCATCTGACAAAGCAGCGATCACCTCCACCAACTGTCTAAAGAATGGGAAATATGTAACTGGTTTCAGTTATACTTTATATATAGATAAAATTGTAACATCAAACTGAAGATTATAATCCACAATGTGGAGGGATTTGAGCATGGCTGAGCCACTGTGTGTCGCTGTGTGACAGCTGAGCAGTGAAAGGAAATTAATTGAGGAGCTGCGGCTCTCGCTCAATGGGAGTCGACTATTCTGATTCACTACAAAGCACTCTCTAAGCACAGCTCTTAGAGCTAAAGCTTTTGCGCATGATACATTATTGAACGTTACACTGTGTGTCATGGATACTGTTGACTCCAAATCTCCCAACCACTATGTTGATCTGAGACAGCAAGACCGAGACAGCGAGACCAAGATAAGACCGAGACCAAAGTCCGTCGAGATCAAGACAAGACCAAGACCACGTAAAAGTGGTCTCAAGACCGGTCTCGAGACCAAGACCGGTCTCGAGACATCCAACTCTAGTCGTAAGTTATTAAAATATGTGCTTTTGTGGTCCTATGTAAGCTGCTAATCATGTCTGGCTAACCTGTCACTCAGTTTCCCTCTCTTTTTTGTTATTTAACAATGTTGCTGAAAACATGAGATAGAGCGAAGAACAGAGAGTGTTTTCAATCAGCAATATCAGCTTAATATGTAAGCTAGCACCTGATAAAACAAAATTGTAAAAATAAAATAAAATATCTGCTAGCTTAAGCTGTTATTTTCAATCCCCTGTGTGAAAAGTAGGCAATTAGATAACAGGCCTTTTGTCTGCCTGTTATCAAGGATGTGCCTTTCAGCAGTTGTATTATTTACAACAAGTAAATCAGTAGGATAGCAAAGAGCTTGACAGGCCTACAGAGGTAAATGATCTCTAATACAACAGGAAGTAAAAGGCTAATGGTCTGTTTTCATCTAGTATAGTAAACTTTAACATCACAACACCAATGAGCATTAACATAAGTGAGTCATGTGTCTGCTGTTAGAAGCACAGTCCTTGTTAACACCACTCAGAACTCTGAAGGTCAAGATAGAAGGAAAGCACCGAGCTGATACCTACAGGCGTCTTATTGAGTGCCAGCTATAAAAGAAGTAGATTCAACAGATCAAAATGTTGTAAGAGTTTTTACACATACTAAAAAATCCAAACCATTTTAAAACAGCTGCGTCGTTCTGGTTTTACAAGAACATTTTCATTCTTCACTCTGTTAGAATTTGATTAATTAGTAACAACAATATTTAGTTTTTGTTTTTGTAATCAATCACAGCTCTGTACATGTTCATCATACCTCCTCCACATCATTATCCAGTGCTATTATGGCCAGTGGTACAGATAGGCTGGCGCTGGTCGCTATGGTGGTTCCCACTGGCGATGCCTCACTGATGTAGCCATGGTAACTAGGCTGCAGGAAGTAGGGTGCCTGGTTGTTTTCATCCAGAACTTCGATTTGAAGGCTGGCGAAAGCTGGCAGGGGGTGGCCGTTGTCCTGTTCTGCCTAAAGGGGAGAGAGGAAAGTGTAATAACAACCAATTTAGCTTTGAATCTTCTCTAACTGACCAGCCATAAATCACGCTGCTAAGCCTTTATGTCTTTACAGTGGTTGACGAAATTACACACAGTGATATGACAGATGCTGCGACTACCCATGTATTACAGTTCCACATGCTGAAAATAGTAACAAGTGTGCTTTTTTTGTTTGTGCTGGTGATTCTCTTTAATCAGTCTGTCATTTTATGAAATGATTTCTCTAAGGAAATTGGTAAGTCAAGTTCAAAGGTTTAAGTGCTGCTGAAAAAGTATGAGTTGATAATTTGTTTCTGAGTTCCAGTCTTTTTTTCTTTTTCTTTTTCTTTTCTTTTGTTTTTTTAAGTTTATTTAAGTGACCAGTAGAGTTGTATAGTGTGGCTTCTCTGCTATTTTACAAGTGAAAAATGCTAACATGGATCCGTAATGAAAGTTCAGCTACAGGTCAGGGCTAACGTACTAATTTGAGACCCGTTTTTTGTCTATGTTTGCTTACATTTTGGCAATGTAACATTAGAAGTATGTAGAACTGACAATGAGCAAACGAAAACATGCTTTTGAGAAATTGTCATTTTAAAAACAAGAATCTTTCTTTGCAAAAGCATTCCAACCCTTCATCCAGTGCATTGGCAGCCAGTAGAGCTTTTATTTGGAAAAACCTTTCATGATTCATCACAAAGAATGGATGCCATCTCAAGGTTTTTCTATAGATATTCTGTGGGTTTCAAGTCCACTCAAGTATATTCAGACTTGTGTCAAATCCACATGAGTATGATCTCTTAAAAGATGAACAGTTACTGTGTTTTGGTTTGTTCATATTCTTTTTAATTCTGAGCAGTCTCCGTGTCCCTAATGGTGAGAAACGCTCTTTTAGCATTATGATGCTATAACCATGCTTCACTGTAGGGATAGCATTAGTGAGCTTAATGAACACCAGTGCTTGGTGCTCATCAGGCAGTTCTTGGAGTTCATCCCAAATAGGTTTTGGCACATCGGATCATATTTTTTCCTCATGCTCTAATAATCCTTCAATGCATCTGGCAAACTCCAAACCAGCACTTATAAATCTTTCATTCAGAGTGGCTTGATGGAGTGTAGTTGATCGTTGTCCTTAGAGAAGGATTTTAAATGTTACAAGAAACATCTGAGGCGGTGACCACTGAGGTGCTGGTCACATACTGTCTCTGACCAAAGACCCTACTTTACCTGTTATTGTTTGTACTAAAGTCATGAAACGTCCTTCTTTCATTTCACAACGGCAAAATAAATTGTTTTGTACAAATAAATGTGTACCAATCCTTTTAGTTTACCTCAGGTGGATTATTAAAAAACCAGTGTATTTCTGTTACTTTGCTCCCTTCTGTTGCCTTTCCTTTCATTATTTATTCATTTTTTTGAAAGAGTTATTAGTTGTAAAATTCTGTAAGTATGTGAGAGTAGCGTAACACACACACACACACACACACACA